GAAAAGAAGAGAAGGAAAGGGGGCCTCTGTTAGGGTCAGCCGCACCGCACCCCGGGAACCAGTGTCCGTCCTAGCCAGCTATAAAACGTGGAACTAGCCCCCGCCCCCTCCCCTTCCTTCCAGATGGCCTCTTTCCAAATCAAAATCTTTTTTGGCAGCACCTTTGCTTTGTCTTAATCTGAACCCGGGGACCGGGAAAGGCTGCCTGTGGACCTGAGCAGTTCATTCTCAACTGAAAGGAAAGTTCCGGGTGGGGGATGAAGCAGCCTCCTCCCTTTCTGCACCCTCAAACACCCCCCACCCTCTCCTGCGCCGATGGGTTCTCCCCCTGCTTTGGGGCCACCCTCTGCCTGTGCTCAGCCCCGCCCCAGCTCCCCCGCTCAACCTGTCCTTTAGCGGCCTTGCTGCTCTCCCGCCCCTCTTCCCTGCCCAGCGTTTCCTTCAGCTGCTGGCAGGGTGGGGGTTCCTGCAGCGTTAGAGGAACTGGAGGACAACTTCAGGGGGAGCGCAGCGGAGACCAGGATGGCGTGCGTGATTCTGCATCTGTGGGGCCTGCGTGCCTATGGGAATGGGTGTGAGATACTGGGTGGTTGCATAAGCTGGGCTGTGATCAGGGAGTTCCAGATTCAAATCCCCACGAAGACTCATGATGCTAGCCAGTCTCTCCGCCTAACCTACCTCCCAGGGTTGTTGTGTACAGACTTCAGGCGGACTGACTCCTTCAGTTCTCTGGCCTTTAACTGAGCTGGGGAAGCAGGTCAAATGGTCACATGCTCTCTCCCAGTCTCATTACGTCTGGTGCCTTTCAGAATAGGCCAGGCTGGGTCTCTGCTCCAAGAAAGCTACAGTCTAAAACTCAAAATAGTGGGACCAGTAATGGGAGAAGAGGAAACAAAGCAGAGGGAGCAAGAATGCTGCATTTGCTAAAAGACAGGCTAGGTTTTTCCCAAATTTTTTAAAGTTGGAAGGTTGTTAAGATTTGCTGAGAATATGGTAATGGACATCCATGGGTTTTCTTCCTGGGGTGGAGTTCTTAAATTCAGGGTTGTCTTCCATTTGGGTAAACAACAGTACAGGTGGTCCTCACTTAACAACCATTTGTTTAGTGACTGTTCAAAGTTACAAAGTGCTGAAAGGGACTTACAACTGGTCCTCACACTTACAACGGTCGCAGCACCCCCGCAGTCATGTGATCGCAATCTGGGCATTTGGCAACCAGCTCATACTTACGACGGTCTCAGTGTCCCGGGGTCACGTGATCACCATTTGCAACCTTCCCAGCCAGCTTCTGGCAAGCAAAATCAACGGGGAACTGTGTGGTTTGCTTAATGACTGCATGATTTGCTTATTGGCCATTCACTTAATGACCATTGCAAAAAAGGTTGTAAAATTGGGTGCGACTCGCTTAACAACTTCCCTGCTTAACAATGAATTTTCTGGTCCCTATTGTCATCATTAAGTGAGGACTACCTGTGGTTAATTCATTTATACATATTTAGGCATAGTTACGTTGGGAAATAAATAGGGAATGGTTTGGGGCAGGACATGTTTGGGATCTGGGGATGAACTAACCAAATGGCAGCCACAGAACACTTGCCTATTCCCAAACCTCTCCAGGGATGACCTAGTGACAAAACACCCATTCCCCCAAAGGTGCATTATCTACCTCCCCAACCAGGAGCGTCCACATATATGAAATGGGGAGGGGGCTTAATTTTGCAGTTGTGACCACCATTTTGACGTTGGATGTTCCCACCCCAACTCTGGATAATGTTGTAAGTGTCTGCAGGGTGGCAAGCGTTGGCAAGATAGATGGTTAGATCCCAGACTGATATCTAGGAGAGCTTGTATAAACAGTCAATTGCAATGTTTCTCAACCTTGGCAACTTTAAGACATGTGGACTTCAACTCCCAGAATTCCCCAGCCAGCATTCTGGGAGTTGAAGTCCACCCGTCTTAAAGTTGCCAAGGTTGAGAAACCCTGGTCAACTGTAAGCTTCTTTGTTATCGGTGAAGAGAGCTGTCTCCTTGCCCAATCACAGGAAGAAAGTCAGAAAGTCTCCACTTTATTTTACCCAGGGCATATTGCTTCTCTCTTTTAAAAAGAATATATTAAACGTTTTAAAGAAGCTATGTAAACAAGCACAAAAGAAGAGCAAAAAAAGGAATAAAAGTACAAATATGATACAAGCGTATACAAGTGAATAAAGAAAAGATTAAGAATGTCATGGAGACTACAATTATGTAGTATATCATTAGTCAATTTTGAGTTACTGAATATGATATAATTTTAAAAGACTGAAAATTGTCATTAAGCTCCAAGCTAAAACATTAATATCAGGAAGCACAGACAACAGAATGTGAAACAGGAGCATGTTGGCTCTGAAAGGGAAATCATTCAGTTGCTGGAATTCCTTCAGGCCCATCAGTTTCATCTCACTAAATTTTGCTAATGAGAATTTTGTGAAAATCATACTTGGAAACGAATCACTTTCCATTTAAGGCAGTTGCCAAGAAGCTTAGCGGTAAGGGACAAAGTGTGTATTGTGAGGGCACAACGCAAACCCTGTGACTTAAGTCCTTGTGTCTGACAACAGAATGCAAATGGGGAAGACTAGAGTTTGCACTGTCATCCTATGACACACATTTTGTGACTTTCACACCATCGTGATTTGTACCATATGCCTACAGGTACTATTATATTTACGTGCTGAACCCTCCAGACCTTCCTGCAAATAAATACAACAGCAGAAGGGGGCACTTTGCAACAGAGCAGGGTACAACTTCATGTTTGTTTATTGATTTAATCAAGGTATACGGTTGCCCACTTGCAGTTAACCTCAGATCAAAACAAGATTCGAAACATCGGCTCTGCACGGCTAACTTCAGGTTAAAAACAGGTAAACAAGAAATAACCAAAACTAAAACAAACACATCTGAGCCAAACAGTCATTCTCAATCCTTACAGAACAGGCCCATTGTCCAATGCCCGGGGTAGAGCCAAGGTTTTAAAACCTTAAGAGAGGGTAACAGAGTTTTAATTCATTTCCTTTGTTAAAATAAGGTTTAAAAAATTGTTTGGGGTAGGGGATGTGGGGCGCACACACTGCCTGCCTCTGCAGACACTGTCGGAGGAGAGATGTGTTAGTTTACGGTGGCAAAAAATCAGGAGTTTGGTGCACCTTTTCCAACTAACACATTGGTGTCAACAGCTTCATGGAAAAGCTGGCCTTTGGGAAAGATTTGAAGTGGGAACTATCTGCAGGTGTCCTGAGAGGAATTTCCAAGTGTGGAGGACAGCAAAGAAAAAAAAAACAGTTTAAAAGTGAACGGGTGCCCCAAGCAGATTAGACAGAATACACACAGATCTTTCTCCTTCACAACAGACTGTTGACACAGTCTGGAGAAGGGGTTTGAAGGAGGTCAGGGAGATAAGACTTGCTAGACATTTCCTTACAAGAGATTGTATCTTCAGAGGTAGGAGAGAGTTCAGGGGTTCTTATCTGGTTTGCTTATGTGCTGAGGGACCCTCCTGAGATGACATTCTGGATTTATCTCACCTTTCCCTTTGACAGCCAGGTGATAATCTCTCACAAATACGCCCGGAGAGAAACGGGGATGGCAACCATCCTTAGAAAACTCAGGAACTTCTTAATCTAGATGGATACACATTGGTTTATTCAACCCACCGTAGTCCCTGGTTCATACCTAATGCTAAGCCCTAATCCATGGTTTACCGCTCACAATCGGTTGGGCTCACCCCCTGAACCATAGCCCTGAGACAACAGCTCTCCCCTCTCTCCAGCAGCAAGGCTGCATCGCACACCCAACTCTTCAGAACTTATAGTCTGGTTTTGCCCGGACCAAGCACCAGTTATCCAATTGCAGTCAGACCCTTTAATCAGCTTGGCTTGATTGGGCTCCTCTCCCTGGCTTGCGTGGTCTCTCTGGCTGCAGAGAAACAAAAGGGAGTGGATGGATTGGGGTGGGGGGGGTTGTGGCTCTTGCAAGGTTCCCCCCAAGCCCCTCGTATTTTCCCTAGGCAAATCATGTTGCTCTTTTACCGTCAACAGCATCCCTTATACAGTATTCATGGTGAAAAGATGGCACATGCTTCTTGTAGAAAGAGGGGGAAAGGAGACTGGCTCAGGGGCCCTTGCAGTCAAGACATGCTTTTAAAAATGTTTATCCCTCCCACCCCCTAGCACAGATGGGGTCCTGTTGCATTGAGCCAAAATGTTTGTTCGTGGCTATGCCATTGCAGACCATAAACCGATGTTTCTCAACCTTGGCCACTTGAAGATGGGTGGACTTCAACTCCCAGAATTCCCCAGCACTTTGAGCCTCTTCTGGTAGCACCTTTTCCGACTCACAGACTTGATTAAACGGCATTTTGTGAGGTGTAGCTCACTTCAAGATGGATTCAAAGAGAGACGGAGGATGAGGGGTTAGGTTGTGCAGACGCAGATTACCCGCGAGGCTGATAACACGGTGTCTCTCAGCCCTGGCCACTTGAAGATGGCTGGACTTCAACTCCCAGAATTCCCCAGCCAGCCATGCTTGAGAAACGCAGCATTAAGCAGCCAAGGGAACTCAAGCTGGGTCCTGCACCGGACAGAGGGATGATGAAATGGACTGGAATGAATTCTCCTGAGGCTGAGTTGTGAAACTGATGAGAAAACGG